TGAGAACATGCTATATTTATTTTTTTGTGCTTGGCTTCTTTCACTTAACACAATGACCTCCAGTCTCACCCATAGTGCTGAAAATGACAGGATTTCATTCTTTTTTATGGCTGAATAATATTTTAGTGTGTATATATAACACGTTTCTTCATCCATTCATCTGTTGATGAACACTTAGGTTGATTCCATATCTTGACTGTTGTCAACAGTGCTGCAGTAAACACGGGAGGGTAGGTATGTCTTCAATATACTGATTTCCTTTCTTTTGGATATATACCCAGTAGCAGGATTGCTGGATCATATGTAGCTCTAATTTGAGTTTTTTAAGAAGCCTCCATACGGTTTCCCATAAGGGCTATACTACTCTACATTCCCACCAACGGTATACAAGTGTTGCCCTTTCTCCACACCTTTGGCAACATTTGTTGCCAAATAAACTATTCTTTAAAAAGCAAGTTGCAAAAGGTCAAATTTGCCTGAAAAATGTTACTAAAAAAATCCAGCTCCTAGCACAGTGTTTTTCACATGACAGACATTCAACACATAGTTGTTACATTAAAAACAGCATCAGTGACTATTGTATTTGGAATTTATTTAATCCACTTAGTAAGTTATCTATTTGGTCTAGATTAAAAGTTAGGTTATTTACCAGTAGTGTTGACAGTGATTGTGAACTAACCCCAACCCTGCAATTTTACTGAAAATAATATATTAAATGGAAGTGACAAATAATTTCTTTATCACTTTATTCATTTACACACAAAGTATACTGTGAATATTTTTGCTTTACTGAAAAAAATCTACTAAAATGCAGAAATAGTACAAAACCATACTGAAATAAGAATACTTAAACTGCTCATTTCACCTTACCAATTATCTAGTTCTGCTATTTTTCTATTTTAATGGTAGGTTTCAAATTCAAAACTGCTTTTAATCTACAAATTTAGATATGTAATAACTGCTGGTAAAAATATTGATTTTGTAGCCTGCTTCCTCTTTTACATGAATGTTTATTTCAAGTTTGCTGTGATCACCATGGAAATTCTGTATTGCTAGAGGTTGGAGGTTGTGATCATTCATTTATTTAACAAGTACTTTACAAGCATCTATTCTGTGCCAGCACCATGATAAGTAGTCATTACTTTCATGGCATCTGTTTTAAATGCTATTTTAGATCTTCCAAAAGACATATAACTTTAAATCAAACCACCAAGTCAAGACAACTTTCATTTTTCTAACTTGATTCAAGGGCTGCCCATTAAATGCCACAGAACCACAGGCTGATGCCCAGGCTTTTGATAAGTGACATATTTTAGCAAATGAATAACAGCTAGGTATTGTGTGTAAATCTAGCATACCTTGATGGTTAAGCATTCTGGCTGTGGAACCAGAAATACTTGGTAGTGAATCCTGGCTCTGCCATTTACTGGTTGTATTATCTTGGGTAGCTTACTTAACTTCTCTGAGCCTGTTTTCTTGTTTGTTAAAGTTGGAACTAATATTAGTATATACTGCATAGTTTTACAGTGACAAATAGATGAGTTGATGTGTGGAAAGCACAAAGATCACTGCTGGTATTTACTAATTCCTCAATACGTTAGTTATTAATAGGAGGAGTTATTAATTAGCTATTGATAGGAAGAATAAAAATTATGACAGTAATGGTATAAGTATTTACTTAGGTTAAGGGGCTTCCTTATTTGGCTAAATTATCTAAAATGCATAGAAAGAATATAACTTTTAGTTCACTATTTTTATCTATTTTATCTATCTATCTATCTATCTATCTATCTATCTATCTATCTATCTATCTGAGGTCTTGTTCTGTTGCCCAGCCTGGAGTGCAGAGGTGCAATCATAGCCTCAAAATCCTGAGCTCAAGCAATTGTCCCACCTCAGCCTCCTGAGTAGCTGAGATCACAGGTGTGGGTCACCATACCTGGCTGGCTATTTTTTTCATATTCTGGTTAACGGGGTGTCAAACACAAAATCTTTCATGATTCGGTTGTCTAAGATATTTGAGACACACATTAATCCATTTCAAAGATTAAAATATATTTTAATTTTTCTTTTTTCTTTTTTTTTTGAGACGAGTCTCACTCTGTCACCCAGGCTGGAATGCAGTGGCATGATCTTGGCTCACTGCAACCTCTGCCTCAAGGGTTCAAGTGATTCTTCTGCCTCAGTCTCCTGAGTAGCTGGGACTACAGGCCTGTGCGACCATGCCCAGCTAAGTTTTGTATTTTTAGTAGAGACAGGGTTTCACCATATTGGCCAGACTGGTCTTGAACTCTTGACCTTAGGCGTTGTGCCTGCCTTGGCCTCCCAAAGTGCTGGGATTACAGATGTGAGCCACCACACTTGGCTACTTTAATATTTCTATTGATGCTAGTTCCTGAATGATTTTAGGGTCATAATATCCAATGATTGTAGATGCCAAAGTTTTAGAAAATGTGTCTTAAACACAGAACAAACCCTAAATGTTTATTTAGTTAAATGCCAAACTTATCTTGTTTCTTTCTCTGAATATTGTAATGCTGACAAAATTCCAGGTAGTGTCTGACAGTTGGGTTCTGAAGTTTTACTACTGCATCATAACTATAATTTTGCTCACTAACTGTGTAGAATGTAAGTTTACCAGATCTAAAAAACTGTTAGCTAATACAACAAATTAAATAGAGCCTCCAGTGAATTAAATAACTTCATGTTATATTTCTAAGAATTTTACTCACAATGGCCACAGGGTCATTGCTTCGAGTTGCAGCCAGGCTGAATTTCTTCACATGTGTGTTGGTTTCCAGAGCCTTTGCAAATTCCCTCAGGGTTGGAATTGGAATGTTCTAAGACAGAGAAGACATGGCTAGTTGATGGCACACTCATGCTGAGGTAAGAACCCACAACCTTTAAATACCATATATGTGTAGATAGCTAAATACATGATACCCCTTCTAAACGAGGGTCGTTACTCAGCCTTCAGAAACCAAGCAATCCTGAGCCAACAGCACCATTTAGTGCCCAACAGGGGAGTCCAACCTACCACTATGGTACCCCTCGTCGTCTTTCTGTTTTCCCTAACCAAGAAAGTATGCACATATTATACTTCTCTCTTTTTCTTTTTCACTCTATATTCTAGCCAGACTGACATACTTGCCATTGTTTTATATACCATCTCTCTCTTTTTCAGACCTTTACATATATGCTTTCTCCTTAGCCTGGAAATTCCTTTTGTCCTTTTCTCTGGTTAATTCCTACTCATCTTTCAAGACCCAGATGAAATATCATCTCCTTTGTTTAGCGGATCTCCTAGGTAGCATTAAAATTTATCTTTTCTGCAATTCAATAACATTTGGGGGCTTACCATATCATGTTATAATTATCTGTTTAGTGTTTTTCTCCTAGGATAATTTTTTTTTTTAGAGTAAAGACTGAATAAATTTTATTCATCTTTGTAGTTCCTTTTCTAGATCATTTAGCACAGTAATGACCACTGGGGAGGGAGACAATATGGGGTGCGGTTAGAAGGGGAGAAGAGTCCTGACTGCACTATTGGCTAGCTCTATGACCTTAACAACTCTCTAAGTCCCACTAATAATTAAATTAGATAACAAATTCCAAGTACTTAGCAAAGGACATGGCACATAGTAAGTACTCAATAAAAGCTGGTTACTATTATTAAATGCTAGAAATTGGCCCAGTAAGAATAAACAAAACAGACTTCAGGTAACGTTTAAACACACACACACACACTCTCTCTCTCTCTCTCTCTCTCTCTCTCTCTCTCTCTCTCTATCTTCTATTCTTTCCCTTTGAGGGTGGCACAACTTGTTAAATTGAATAAAGTGGAAGTGACAACATGTGATTTCAGAAACCAGGTCATAACAGGTATTGTGGCTTCCTGCTTTCTCATCATTCTGTCTTGGATCACCCGCTCTGGGGAGTCACATGGTGAGAAACGGAGGCATCTTCCCAATAGCCATATGAATCTGCCATCTTGGAATTGGATCCTCCTGCCCCAGGCAAGCCTGGTAATGCAGACCTTGATGACAACTTCACTACCACCTCATTTGAGACACTGAGCCATATTATCTAGCTAGCCACCACCACATTCCTGACACTCAAAAATTGTGTGTGAAATAATAAATGCCTGCTGTTTGAAGCCTCTAAGTTTTGGAGTAATCTGTTACTCAGCAATAGATATAACTAATGTACTGTTTAACTCAGGTGTGCCGATTGTTATAATTATAGAAATCACTGTTTTTCAAAACCCACTTCTTTTGAATAGCATACCCTGACTCCAACTCAGTGACAACAAAGAACTACAAACAGGTGTGTAAACAAGCAATCGGTCATCTCTGGTAAGTTTTCTGACCTCACGATAAAGTTAAGTGACTGACGATAATCATAATGAAATACCTTAATGTTGTTGAGGTTGACTTCTTGCAAGCTAGAATCATTCGCTTTCATCTGCTGCAGACTTATTTCCACATTTGTGGGATTGGGTGGTTCCTCAAATACTGGCTTGACCTTTTCACCTTTGACAACATCTAAAACACAAGTTTTCATTGTAAAAAATGCAAAGTCTCTCCTATCAAAATCGGTGGTGACGTCTCCAAAAATGACATTTCTTTCATATGCTCTGATTCCAATAACACTTTAATAGCCATGACAGTAAGTTCATTCTCAGCTGAGCAAGCATGGGAGTGGTGTAGCTCTGAGTCACAGTTTGGAAGGCTGGTGTTTCTCAACTGCAATGAGAATTCCCTGGGGCCAACACTGCAAGGAGCCAAAAGTTCAGGAGGCCCTGCAGCAAACTCCAACTTTCAAAATATCCATGGGCAGTTATTGCTGCTCCATATGGACATCTGTCAGGCTATACTAACTAGACTACAGGATCTGAGATACAAATCAGACACCATAATAAGTCTTCATTTCCCAAATTTTAATACCCCTTTGGCCTCTTGATTATACCCTACCCTCCTCTGAGTTCTATTATGGAGCTTTAGTTTTGAGGAAGGTATGGGAAGAGAAAGGGATAAAAAAGAAAAATGGAAGAATTCTAAAAAGTAGTTAACAGAGATACAAAGGATTAATATCTCAATATAAACAGAGCTCCTACAAATCAATAAGGCAACCCGATTAAAAATGAACCAATAATATGCTCAGAAGAATCTGCCACTCAATCAAAAAACATAAAAAATTTAACTAAGCTCCAAAATAAAGAAATGAGATACAATTTCATTAGCAAACAAGTGTGAAACAAGATAATATTTGGAGTTGGCAACAATGTGGAGGAAAAAGCATCTTCGCACTTCTAAGTGGGAAGGTGGTATGATGCAAATGTTTTGGGAGAGTAATTTGGCATTATCTATCAAAATTAAAGATGTGCATACTCCATAACCCAACAATTCTATATCTAGAAGTCTTAAAAATAGCACAAATACATAAAGATATATATCCAAGGGTGTTCCCTGTTCCCTGATATATTACTTGTGACCGAAAAACATGATAAACAAAATGTCCATTGATATGAAAACGGGTAAATAAACTATAGCATTATCACATAACAACTCATTGTCTATTCATTAAAAGAATCTGTAACAACTCACTGTCTATTTGTTAAAAGAATCTATTCAAGAGCCAGGAATAATGGCTCATACCTATAATCCCTGCACTTTGGGAAGCTGAAGCAGGAGAGCTGCTTGAGGCCAGGAGTTTGAGACTAGGCTGGGCAACATAGGGAGACCTATTTTAAAAATTAGCCAGGTGTAATGGTGCATGCCTGTAGTCCTAGCTGTTCATGGAACTGAGATGGGAGGATCCCTTGTTCCCAGGAGTTTGAGGCTGCAGTAAGCCTTAGTAGAGGCACTGCCCTCCAGCCTGGACAACAGAGTGAGACCCTGTATCAAAAAAAAAAAAAAGTATCTTAATTATCTATTCATTTAAAAAGTTACCTACTCATTAAAAGAATGAAGGAAACCTATAGGTACTGATAAGAGACCACAGTTTGAAGACAAGTTAATATTTGTATGTTTGTGTATGTATAAAAGTCCAGAAGGATATGCACCAGATTGTTAATAGCAAATACTGTCAGAATGTTACCCTTTGATGCTGAAGCTAAAAAGGATGAGCATTTTTAATCCATATGCATAAGAAGCAAGAAAGGCCAGCCTGAGCAACACAGCAAGACCCTGTCTCTACAAAATAGAAATAAAAATAATTAACTGAGTGTGGTGGCATGCACCTGTAGTCCTGGCTACTCAGGAGGCTGAGCGGGAAAATCACTTGAGCCTAGGAGCTAAAGGCTGCAATGAACTATGATTGCACCATTGCACTCCAGTCTCGGTGACAGAGCAAGCCTCTATCTCAAAAAATAAAAGAAACATTGCTCATTGTGTGGTTAAATTACCACTATAAATATTATTTCATTTATATGCTACTGAGATTAGAAAGCATCTCCCAAGTCTCTATCAAAGCGAATAAAACAAAATTAACCTAAGAAAAGCTGTAATCCTCTATGAGTTTTCAAAGCACACGGATCACACTGTACTGAAATGACCTGATTATTGTTCCTTCCCTACCCCAGACAGGTAAGTTCCTTTGGGCAGGGACCATTTTCATCTTTGTACCTAAGCCTAGAACTTTCCTGACACTAGGTATTTAGTGGATGACTGACTGATGAATGAATGAATAAAAAAGTCTAATTAATTGTACACTTTTTTTTTTTTTTTTTTTTTTTTTTTGAGACGGAGTTTCGCTCATGTTACCCAGGCTGGAGTGCAATGGCACGATCTCGGCTCACCACAACCTCCACCTCCCGGGTTCAGGCAATTCTCCTGCCTCAGCCTCCTGAGTAGCTGGGATTACAGGCACGTGCCACCATGCCCAGCTAATTTTTTGTAGTTTTTTAGTAGAGACGGGGTTTCACCATGTTGACCAGGATGGTCTCGATCTCTTGACCTCGTGATCCACCCGCCTCGGCCTCCCACAGTGCTGGGATTACAGGCTTGAGCCACCACGCCCGGCCCAATTGTACACTTCTACAGGAAATGTTGACATAGAAGATGGTGGTGCATAATGTCCTGTGCAAGTAAGCCCATGCCAGCATGTCTTTCACGCTCTCTGAGGGAAGTGAACATGTAAATTCTAATGACAAGCATCTATTATTGAGACAAAAGACACTCAAATAGAGAAGGGAACTTATTCAAGCTATCATAGTTGATTAAAACATCCTTAGGAACATAAAACTCTGCATTTTGTGATGACTATGCAATCTTTTAACAGCCTTTTTTCTTCCACAAACATGGATTATACCATTTAACGCAGACCCATACATCAGGAATTTTATCTTCTGACTGAACAGACCTACCAAGAAAGTGTTCTGGGCAAAATACCCTGATCTGTATTAGTTTCATTGCCAGAGCTCTCACTGTCAGCTGCTGTGTTCTGGTTTGACTGATTAAAGCCCAATGATTCCAGTGAAATAGCAGAGGCCTGCAAGAGTCAACAGGCCTCTCTCCTACCAGCAACGCTGCAGGCTCCAAAGCTTTACAAAACCACAGATTCCACATCAACTTACTTCTGACAGGCCCTTTGCCACCTTTATTATTGGCTGTTTCTTCATCAAACTTTGGATTGTTGAGCAAATTGTGGACTCCAAGGACAGCTAAAAACAGACAATCAACAAATGAGCATTAGTTTGGAGAAGCACATTAGGATGACCACATTGCTAATTTGCTTCTTGAAGAACAATTCTTTATGTCATAAAGTTAAGTCCCTGAGTCCTCTTTCCTTGCACAGTGTGTGGTCCCACGTTCCCATGTACAGTGTTAAGTACACTTATTAAAAAACCCTCCTTTCAAGACCACCAGTAATTGTCACATCTTTCTACATCTCCACATGTAGAATCATTTAGGATCTGAGAAACGACAGCCTAGTTATGGCAACAATTTACTGAAAATCTGCCTAGACCTCTTACTTAAGTAGACTCAACCTCTCAGTTTTCTCATCTGTAAAATGAGAAGGTGGGACTGAGACTAAGGATTTTTAAGATATAACATTATATAGATTATTGCATATATTTTTCTAGAGGCCTCTTTCAGTGTCAGCCTTTTCATCTCTCAGTACCAAATATAACTGTCTCTTCACAGTCTAGAGCATTCCAGGGTGCGGGGAAAAAAAAAGCAACATCAGCAATAAAAGCTCAGCTGAGCGTACTGAGATTTTCAGCTTCCTGTATTATACAGAACTTGCATCAGGAGGCAGCATTGGATGTGGGGAACAACGCTGGGGAGAATGAATGCGGGGCAGGCTGAACCTGTAACCGCCACTCAGATTTCCCTCTGCTAACGCAATTCCAGGTGACATTGGCCACCTGGAGAAGGATCCCAGAAGAGATAATAATCTGTTGACAGGTGGCAGAGGAGCGCCTCTGAGATGCTCACCAGGTCTACTGTAAGCTACATATTGAAGGAGGGAGGCAGCCAGCCCAGCACGAGGAAAGGCAAAGAGCCAGCACAGACCGGGTGAAGTCGGGGACTTGGGAGCAGTCGTGAATCCTGACTCTGACACATACTAACTATGTGACTTGGGAAGTTGTTACATGCCTGAGTTTCAGTTTCGTCATCTGTAAGATAGGGATAATAATTCTACTTTATTACCAAGATTAAGTGACTTCCTATGTGTCAGGCACGGTTCAAAGTGCTTTACAAATTCTTGTTAAAAGAATAAGGATTTGTCACTGTGTCTCTGTCAAGGGGACAGGAGAAGGTGTCCCGTTTGATAAACACTGAGGCCATACAACAAACATATCTTCTTGCTCTGGCCCTGTGCTCACCAAGTAACTGCTAACTGTAATTTGGTTCCCATTGCCAAGTTCTCATTTTTCACCTGTTATCTGTGAATTGGGCTAGTGGATCAGTTCCCCCCACTTTGCTTCAATCTGACTGCTTCTATGTATACTGACAAGATCAAATTTCCAGTCCAGAGCTCCCACAGTTTAGGGCTAATAACTAGACTCTGGATGATAACCACATTGACACCCAGCCAGTCTAAGAGGCACTGTCGTGTAGATCAACTACCAGTCCCTTGAAGGACTTTCTGTCTTTTCTCTATCTGCCACAATAACATGGGCAATACACCGACACTTTCTTATCTACAATTCAGTGGCTGCCAGCCCATCTGCCCATGAGGCTGCCTTCAATCTTCCAGAAGGGTCCACCCTAGAGAAGATGCTGCCACCATCCCAGCCAGGCTTCCTTCTGAATTCCTAGGGAACATAGGATGAGGGAGAGAAGCTGAGTAAGGATGAACAAGGAGTTTTCTATTTGGATTCTCTCCCCAGTTTTACTGTACGAATTTCAGGACCTAGTATCTTCCAAATAATTGGTGTTTTTCTCTTTCTCCTTTCTGAAGCCATTTCTTGGGAATTCAAGTTCAGCGTGGCATTCTCCCTCTGGGCAATTCTGGTAGAGACCCTGAGGCAACCCCTGGGAGGAGCAGTAGCCATAACAGGATCCTTCCACAGCAACCCCAGGGCTAAGAAGGCCAGTGGGTGCAAAACACCTTCACCAGGTGACGCAAGCGCTTCAACCCCTGCAGTGGTCAATATTAAGTTCACAAACATGGGAACTTCCTGACATTATCACAGAAGGAATGCAAATGCAATTGGGATGGTTGGTACATATTAGAATAAGGCTGGTTCTCCTGGAAGGAAAGAGGTGACTATTATATGTGTCTTCCAATGGAATAAAAATTCCTGCTAAAGCTGCAGACCCAGTTTTTAAAGCACCTCTAACCTGTGGCAATCTAATAACCCTGTATATGTAGGGGGAAGATCTAATGCCTAAATATACTGGTATATGCAGAAAATCTTTCTTGAAGGCTATGTAAGAAATGGTAATGGGCCTCGGTAATTAAAGTCAAGAGCCTTACTTTTCTACACGTTCTTTTGTACTCTTTGACCTTTTTCTATCTGCATTTTAAATAATAATAATTACAATCATTATCATGTTGCTATTGTTTAGAAGGCTAACAGACCTCCTAGCATTTTCTGAATCAAAATGGAACAGTGACTGTGGGAAGAACAAGAACTTCATGGAAATGTGATGATAAAATGCCAAATGTGAAAGCTCCTTAGAAAGCAAAAGTTGCTTTGTTCTTTAAGCTCTCAACACTCCTTCATATTTGTTTGCTTTATTTTTTAGAGTAACTCTTGACTTTTGCTGGATGGGTATTATTTGCAGCTGAAATAGAGCAACATGAGATTTGCTCAGAGAGGTTAAGTCACCTGCATCAAGACTTACAGCTATATAATGTCTGGTGTCAACCTGCCATTCTCCTACCTACAGAGAAACTCAAAGGCTGCTGCCATGGGTACCACTGCACGCTGGGAGGTCATGGAGCCAGACAAGAAAGTTCCCAGAGTTGAGGACTAACCTGCAAGATCATAGAGTTCAGTGTCAGAGGCACTGGCCAAAGCTTCTTCCAGTTCTGGGTCAAGGGTCACTTTTTCTTCTTCACGAGTTTCTACAGGCTTTTCTTTAGGGATAAAGACTCTCCCTTTAAATCAGAAGAAAAACAAAAAAACTGAGTATTACTGCCTTATAGGTAGGGTAAGTAGACTGAGCAGAGAACGCAGTTCTGGCCATTGAGACCCATATGATTGAGCCAGTTCATATCCAGCTGACATTCCTGGATGGCTAGGATGGTGCCGACATCAGTAAGTCACTGTTGGAGGGAAGAAACACTGGTGGAGGAATCCTGCATTCTGCCACATAGAGATCTGGGACTATAGTCCTTAAACACAGAGGGAAATGGTGGCTTCTACCCCTCTACTGTTGGCAGTACTGACCTTGGGTCTGCGCAGGAGGGGCCCTGCCCTGAGTCGTGCACTTTAGAGGACGCATACTAGTCTTCCTGTGGCTGTATGTCTCCCCTCCAAGGGAGAAGCCATGGAGCCAAAGAGATATTCCCATCTAGCATACAGGCCACTTTCTAGGCCACACTTCAGATACCTAGGACCCTGGAATGCCTTGCCCAAAGAGCCCTGAGCCTGCCTCTAGGGCCTCCATAAGCCCCTTCTCATGTCTATCGTCCTGAAGGCAGGTTACACTGCTGGGTGTGTACCCTCAGGCCAAGGGGAGGCTATTTGTGGGGAAGCATGGACGAAGCTTGGACTATGTGGGCTGGAGTGTCTGACATGTGTGTTTGAGGCCCTGGCAGTGCGGGACAGATCCATATCCCTGCATGGAACTCTTGGAAGTCCAAGAATACTGGCCTTCTAGGTATATCTGAAGGAGGATACAACATATTTTAATGGTTTTTAACTTCTAAATATTTGGAAAACGTGGCATGTGGGCTTCTATTTGTGTTCTTGCCTTGGACCCTGCAAATATTAGGAGCAGGTTCTTCTAAACAGCACCAGGGGTTCCTGAGGAACAAACTGGCAATCCCTTGGAGTGCTCCCTCTAAATTGGAAATGCAGACAACTAGCATGCCATATCTGGGGCTAGGTGGGCTAGTGTAGTGAGCTGGGGACATAGCCACCTCTCTAGAGTCACCAAAGCAGGCCAGATTTTAAGGAAAAATTTTAAGGATCACTATGCCTGAAGATAGTGGGGGTCTGTGAGCAGCAAGGCATTCTGTGCTTCCCATGGATCCATCCTCTGCTACCGTCTCTTACTTCATCCTGTCAGATTCCATTTATTTTGTCACCTACTGACTTCTGAAAATGCTGATATTTCCTAACTCCCAGCTCAAACATCTGAACTGATGAAATAACACTGCTGTACCCAGGAGGATGGCACAGTTCCTGCTCCTAACTTCCAGCCAGGCCAACACATCCACATCCCACATATGCAACCAGGACATTCTAGAGTCATAATCAAAACACCCCAGAGCATTCATATCCTTTTCTAATTCTTCCCAGCTTTTAACTCTTGGTTTCTCTCTTTTTTGAAGCCGCTCTTACTTTTTGGGCACCATCTCTGAAATTTTTCTCTTCCATTTTGATCATTAGAGTTCTCTAAAGACTCATCTGGCTCTAGTTTCAGCCCATTGGAACCCAAGTTCTCTCCATGTCTCCTTGGCTAGCCTGGCTCATCCCACTCCTATGGAAAAGGAAGGGGTCCAACCCAAAGTCAATAACCCTCCTGCATGAGAACTCTGCAGGAGACGTCCCTGATTACAAGGGCTATGAATTTCTGGTTTTACCGGAAATGGCTGGGTCTACAGTCAAAATAAGATTTCTTTCTGTATTTTTTCATTTTGAAAGATAGGGTCTTACTCTGTCATTCAGGCTGGAGTGCAGTGGTGCAATAATAACTCACTGTAACCTTGACCTTCTGGGCTCAAGCAATCCTCCTGCCTTGGCCTCCCAAAGTGCTGAGATTACAGGCATGAGCCACTGTGCCCAGCCTAAAACAGAATTTTCTAGGTTCCTCCTTCCTGGTACTAAACACAAGGTACGCAGCTATCGGTATTCAGGACAACTGCTGATGCAGATCCATTCCTGGAGGTTCAACCATATAACAAGTTTTGTTTTGTTTTTTGGAGATGGAGTTTCACTCTTGTTGCCCAGGCTGGAGTGTAATCTCAGCTATAAAGTGTGATCTTGGCTCACTGCAACCTCCACCTCTCATGTTCAAACAATTCTCCTGCCTCAGCCTCCCAAGTAGCTTGGATTACATGCATGTGCCACCACACCCAGCTAATTTTGTATTTTTAGTAGAGATGGGGTTTCACTATGTTGGTCAGGCTGGTCTCAAACTCCTGACCTCAGGTGATCTGCCTACCTCGGTCTCCCAAAGTGTTGGGATTACAGGTGTGAGCCACCATGCCTGGCCCTAAATAACAAGTTCTAAGCAAAACCCTGCACCAGAGTAAAATCTAGCCCAGGAACCTGAGGTGCACCAGCACACAGTATTCAGAACTGCAGTTGTGCGGCCTCTCTTGAGGACCTCATAGTAGCCCCCCGCTGCTTCTGGATGGTCTCACTGGTGCTCCTAGGGGCCCCACATACTCTTCACTCTGCTCTGCCACTTGATTAGAAAACTTGCTACCTGGGCCGGGCGCGGTGGCTCAAGCCTGTAATCCCAGCACTTTGGAAGGCCGAGGTGGGTGGATCACGAGGTCAAGAGATCCAGACCACCCTGGTCAACATAGTGAAACCCCGTCTCTACTAAAAACACAAAATATCAGCTGGGCATGGTGGTGCGTGCCTGTAATCCCAGCTACTCAGGTGGCTGAGGCAGGAGAATTGCCTGAACCCAGGAGGCGGAGGTTGCGGTGAGCCGAGATCGCGCCATTGCACTCCAGCCTGGGCAACAAGAGCGAAACTCCGTCTCAAAAAAAAAAAAAAAAAAAAGAAAAGAAAACTTGCTCCCTGCTCACTTTATTCCATTGTGCTACTTCTCAACCATCTCCTAAGCTACACTATGCAACTGTATACCTCTTTTATATCTCTATTACTCAGACAGCTCCTGCGTTCCTAACTCCCCCACAAACCATCTGGAGAATTAATCTTGATCATGAGATAATATACCATAGCCATTCTTCAGACCTCTACTCTGAGAAGAAAAGATAACAGCTTTCCCTTATTTTGCTGTCACTACTTGATGTTAATTGGGACTTTACGGAAGATTTGACATGATAATTTTTTTCATAATTAAAGTAGTCCAATAGCAACTATGCTGCTATAGAAAGAGCTTCATATTTTCACAGTAATCCTTGGTTATTTGCCCAGTTTGTCACTGTTCAATATTACTTTATTTATTTATTTATTATTTTTTTGGAAGTAGGATCTCACTTTATCACCCAGGCTGGAGTGCAGTGGTAGGATCATAGCTCATGGCAATCTTGAACTCCTGGATTCATGGGATCCTTCCGTCTCAGGCTCCCAAAGTGCTGGGTGCTGGGATTACAGGTGTGACCCACTGCACGTGGCCCAATTTTACTTTCTTAATGACATTCTCAATGGTACGTGATCCACCAAATATGCACAATACAGAGGACAGCCTGGGCATTCTGTGAGACAGGGCAGCAGCACTCTGCCTCATGCCAGCTAGGAGCTGGGTGCTCTTGCTCCCACGGCTGTAGTACAGATGTTCTGAGATGGCATTCACTCGAACTCATGTTTATCAAGTGCCTCCATGCCAGTTTTTGTATGAGAATACGAAAAAGGACCCTATCACATGAAAACACGCAAAAACCAAAGTAAATAAAGTGATGAACATTGTTACAGTGCTGTGAAGGCAATAAGTAGCTGTCATGATAGAGAAAGAGGTCAGGGAAAGCCTGAGGCCCTGACATTTAAGCTGAGATCCTTAGGATATGAAAAATGGGGACGTGAGTCAGAAGGAAGTGTCCATGAGAAGACCAGCCTGAGAGAGGAAAATAACTTGGCAGGTTTGGGGAAATGAATGAAGACAGTGAGGGCTGAAGCTTAGCAAGGGAAGGCCAGATGCACATAGAGAGGCGGATAGTGGCTGTAACTACTTTAAAGACTATAGTAAGGATTTGAGACTTTAAGTAGGGAAATGACAAGATTTGGTTGGTTTGTTTATTTATTTTGAGACACAGTTCCACTCTGTGGCCCAAGCTATAGTACAGTGGCATGATAGTGGTTTATTGCCGCTTTGACCTCCTGGGCTCAACCAATCCTCCCATATCAGCTCCTAAGTAGCTTTGAACACAGGTGCACCACCATGCTTGGCTAATTTTTGCATTTTTTGCAGAGACAGGGTTTTGTCATGTTGCCCAGGCTGGTCTTGAACTCCTAGGCTCAAGTGATCCTCCTGTCTCAGCTTCCCAAAGTAAAGGAATTATAGGTGTGAGCCACTGTGCCCGGCTGACATGATCTGATTTATATTATAAAAGATTGTAGTTGCTGTGAGGTTATCAATAATTCCATTAGCATCTTTGGGTTCAAGTCACTATCTATAGCTGAGAAAGCTGGACAGGCTATTGATAGTCACTCTTCCTCCAAAGGGGAGCACAGGGTCAGGAGCTAATGAGGAGGGTTTCCTATTCTTAGCTCAGAGCTCAGTCCTGACATGGAAAATATCTCCTTGCTCCTCACAGCCTTCCTAGCTCTGTCATCGTGGTTCTCTCACTAGACCACAAACTCCTTGAGGGCACGACAGAGTCTATTTTACCTGTGATTCTAGCATCTGGCCACAAGGCTCTGCACAGAGGAGGCATTCAGTCGATGATGAGTGCATGAATGACTGCACTGGACTTTAATGGTAGTCTCTAAGGTTAGGGTTGAAGTGCTAGAGCCATCCTGGACATAGAGCAGAAAGGTCTTGAGGGCATTCTGCAGTTGGTAAAGCACCAGGCTAAGAGAAACACACCAGTGCCTAGGAAACTCTCAGGCATGACATTGCTTCACATTATCAAAACTTTCTTTGGGATTTTTTCACTAAACTAATTTGAGAACCATCACACCCTAAGTAATTAGCCTATATATTTGACCATGTTTCTTTTTTCTTTTAATGTACCCTCCCAACTCATCCTCCCACAACTAACGACATCTTTTTCTTTTTTTGAGATGGAGTTTCACTCTTGTTGCCCAGGCTGGAATGCAACGGTGCAATCTTGGCTCACCGCAACCTCCACCTCCTGGATTCAAGCCATTCTCTTACCTCAGCCTCCCAAGTAGCTGGGATTACAGGCGTCTGCCACCACACCCAGCTAATTTTTATAATTTTAATAGAGATGGGATTTCACCATGTTGGTCAGGCTGGTCTCAAACTCCTGACCTCGTGATCTGCTCGCCTCGGCCTCCCAAAGTGCTGGGATTACAGGCCTAATGCCCTCTTATACCATAGGGATACAACTGATGAACTTTCATGGACACATCATTATCACCCAAAGTCCACAGTTTCCATTAGGGTTCAGTCTTGGTGTTGTACATCCTATGGGTTTGGCCTAATGTAAAATGACACATAACTATCAGCCATGATTCTTTTTAATAGTGAATCCAGTTCATGGGCTTATTTCCCATTTCCAGGACAGTTCCCTTGCTTGACCCTCCATGACAATAAAATAAAAAGAGGTACTCTTAACTAAGAGTACCTCTGTTCCAAGATGCTCTGCCTGTGGTCCTTACCTTTCTTTTCTCCAGTGAAGGGCACAAAGTCCTCTCTGTCTTTCTGTTCCAAAGCCTCCTTCTCCAGGTACATGAGGAGGTGCTCACGGTCAAAGGGGCCAGTGGCTGCCTTCTGTGTCTGGTCTTTCTGTCGGAATCCAGCTGGTAGCATGGCACTCTGACAAGACAAAGGTGTGAACAAGAAGGAGGGATGTCTGCTGGCCTGCACATTGCGACTTCCTCTTCCACCCCCACTCACTGTGAGCTGCAGAAGCAGGAAAGATGCCTACACAGAATGGGCATGTGAACTGAGGTCTGGGGGCTCTGGGGTGTCTCTGAGGCCCTACTTGTTCCAATGTCCTGTGCTGAGAGGTGCCTCCCAACATGCTCAAGCAGAGCATAGATGGCTAGAGCAGCCTGAGTTTTCTGAAGCTGCCTCCTAGAACATGGAGGCAAAAGGCCTCTTTCCTTGTAGATTGTGCTTAGGTTTGGCTAGGGCTGTACCCAAGGTGCTCCCAGGCAGAAACATGAGACTGACAAGGAGCTGACATGGCGAACACGTCCCCTGCAGAAGCAGCCAAGCTGATACGTAATATTATGAAGATGTTAATGCCTGCTTGATTAAGCTTTGAGATTCCTTCCTTAAGTTAAAAAAATAAAAGCAGAATACCTATATTTTAAAAAGTAAATACAACATCCAAAGTATCTGACATATCAGAATACCATATATATATAATTTTGTTTTAGTTGCATTTTTATTTATAGTAAAATCACTATTTTGGACGCCACCAATTCTAAATTTAAGATCATACCAGCAGGTCTGAAGAAAGTGCTTGCTAAACAAATATAACAAGTAACTTAACTTTTCAAGAACTCATATAAACATTAGAAACTCCATTGAAATGAACTTGATATTATGATTATAGTCAGTTGAATCTATTCATTGTTATAAGTTCATCAAAGAGTTCACATTATTTGCACATTTGAAAGAAATGAGATATTTTAAAAAATCTGCATTTGGGGCCGGGCGTGGTGGCTTATGCCTATAATCCTAGCACTTTGGGAGACCGAGGCAGACAGATCACTTGAGGTCAGGAATTTGAGACCAACATGGCCAACATGGCAAAACCTTGTCTCTGCTAAAAATACAAAAATTAGCCAGGCACGGTGGTGGGCACCTGTAATCCCAGCTACTTGGGAGGCTGAGGCAGGAGAATGACTTGAACCTGGGAGGTGGAGGTTGCAGTGAGCCGAGATCACGTCACTGTACTCCAGCCTGGGTGGCAAAGTTAGACTCTGCCTGAAAAAAAAAAAACAAAAAACCAATTGCATTTGGGGTTAAAAACCTGAGTTAAATACCATCTCTGACACTTATCAGTATGGAATCTCACATAAATTACCTCTCCATGTCTGTCTCCTCAATTATGAAATAGGGATAATACAGTTTACCTCAATGGTTTCTGTGCCCAGAAAAAAGCTCAATAAGATTTGTTCTCTTTTCCACTTTCCTTCTTTTTCCCGTAAGTCAGACTAGTCCTTCCTCAACCAATGGAAAATATTTCCCCTGATTTACACCAGGCTGGTTTTTGAGAAATACATTTGCTATATCACATTGTAGTGGCTGTGAGGTTCTCTAGGAATTTGTAAACATAAGTGACCCAGAACCAATCAGAGGAAGAAAAGAAAATGTGCATTCAGGGCTAAGGGATTTCTACCATATTTTTAAGGACCAAATCATGCCATTTATTCATACTATCATTAACCACTCTGCTTCAGTTCCATGTCACTTACCTCGGGATCTAGGTCATCTAGAACATTTTCCAACTGCTTCAGTTCCTCTTCTGAGAGTTTGCCAAGAAGCTCATCTTCATCAATGTTCTTGTATTTCTCCAGCTCTTTTCGAAAGGGGAGTGCCATGGCTTCTTATATGCCTTTCTCATGGGCCATGCACATTTATGTGGTCCAATTTCCTGAGACTTCAGAATACTGCTAATAAAAAAGAAACACTAATTAAAAAACAATCTCCTTTCTGTAAACAGGACTTATTAACAGGAGACAGAACTACGCCTCCAGAGGAGCCTACTGTATTGAATGAATAATTCAAGTAAAAGGTAATATTCCCTTCATTTGCAGAGCAACCTGACAGCTTACAAAGGGTTTTCACATATTTCACTTATTTTGATTTTTACAACAATCCTGTGAGGAAGCCTGTGCCAATATTATCATTCCCATTTTATAGATGACTATTCTGAGGTGAAGGTGACCTAGTGCCTTGCTTGAGCTCACAGAGCTGGGATGGGTGAGCCTGGCTTTCTAATTCCTAGTGTAGTGAGTGGTTTTCCATCATACTACTCTGCCTTCCCCAACTCTCCATAGAAAAACAGGGGAGAACAATGCACTAATTGTAAGGCAGCTGTAAGAAGCATACTTGTGCCTTTTCAGGGAGAGAGCAATGTGAGGAATACAAAATGGGATTCATTCACCAACGAGAGTTTGGAACGTCTATGTGAGAAAGCATTGTCCAGTAACTCCCCTGCAATTAAACTAAGTACGATTCTAAAATCCTGGCCATGTGATCACTCTGTCTTTCTCCTTGCTTTGTTTTCCTTTCTATTTCTAGTCTCATTTCCTTTACGTTTCTTTAGCCATCCTACGTATTCATTCTTTATACCCCCAGACCATTCTTCTCTCAACCTTTATTTTTATACCACCTCACTTCTAAACTTTCACCCAAAATGAAACTTTTACTCAATCCTTTCCTCCTTGCAGAGGATTCTACAGATCTTCCCTAGAAAGATAATAATCATTCAGGAAAGAGCAATGTACTTCACTGACTATGTTTCTCCTTAGGAGGTATTACCACCAATCACATCTTTCAAGCCAATAAACATTTGCTATATACCTACTATTTGCCAGGCACAGCTCTAGAAAATAGAAATACAAAGATAAATAAGACATGCCCCCTTTCCCCAAGAAGATCACAGCTTAGTGAGACAGACACGCAAATTACAACAATGGCATAAGTATTAGACATAATGTATAAAGTAGGTTTAAAAACACATGAGGAGGCTGGGTGCGGTGGCTCACACCTGTAATTCCAACACTTTGGGAGGCCAAGGCAGGTGGATCACCTGAGGTCAGGAGTTTGAGACCAGCCTGACCAATATGGTGAAACCCATCTCCACTAAAAAATACAAAAATTAGCCAGGCATGGTGGTGCATGCCTGTAGTCCCAGCTACTCAGGAGGCTGAGGCAGGAGAATCACTTGAACCCAGGAAGTGGATGGAGGTTGCAGTACTGAGATGGTGCCACTGCACTCCAGCCTGAGCCACACATTACGACTCTGTCTCAAAAAAAAATTATACGTATCAAAATGCCCCCTTTCCCCAACATCACAGCTTAGTGAGACAGACACACAAATAGCAATAATGCCACAAGTATTAGACATAATATATAAAGTAGGTCTGAAAACACATGGGGAAATAATCACTGAGTAAATGGGGGAAGTTTGAGGGGAAACTGTGAAAAAGAGGTTGTGTTTGAGCATTGAAGGAAGAGGTCATAAGGTGGACATGGATGGGCAAGTGTCATTCTGGGAAAAGAGAACAGCACAAAGAGGCACAGGATAAGACAGTACATGATACACTGGTGGAGTAGGAGGCGTGGCTGGAGAGGGGGATTCATGGAGGGAGGGAGAGGAAAGAACTAAAGATGCAGACGGGACATCTGTGAAGGGCCTTCCTTCTGTGCCATGCTAAGGGATCTGGACTTTATTCTGCTGGGGATGGGAAGCCACCATAACTTCTTAATGTAGGGGAGTGATCTGAGCACGCCAATTTTTTTTTTTTTAATGAGTTCCAATCATAAGAGCGAAGAATAGGTTGGCATGGAAAGAGACTGGCTGCAGGTGGGCCTCTTAAGGGCTATTAGAATAGTGTTCCCTTCCCTTTGTGAATTCAGCTGCTCACAATGGTCAGGTTTGTAGTTTCTGTGTTGATACCCCTTTCACTTACAACGTAACTCTCTCTTTCATTAGCTCCCTTTCTTGCTTATTAATTTAGAGACAGGGCTCCCCACTGTTTCCCAGGCTGGAGTGCAGTGGTACCATCTTGGCTCACTAAGACCTCCACCTCCTGGGCTCAAGTGATCCTCCCACCTCAACCTCCGGAGTAGCTGGGATTCCATGTGCACACCACACCCAGGACTACAGGCATATGTCACGATGCCCAGCTAATTAAAAAATTTTTTTTGTAGAGATGAGGTCTCCCAGCCCTCTTTTTTTTCCCCCAAAGCTTTAATGACTTTAATCTAGTAAAAAATAAACAAACAAAAATCCTACTAAAGTCAGAGAAACCAACTGGATCCTATATACTTTGTTCTGGCACCAGCCACCACTAACTTATTGCACCACACAGGACAAGGATGGCATCTTCCAGGCCCTTATCCACCAAATGAATTTGTTGAACTACGCTACTTAATGGATTCTAAAATGCACAGTTTATCGCACTTAATATTCTGAAATTGTGATATGTCTTAGAATTGATGGTGTGCTATAATTACTATTGTCCCAGCAGCAGTAAAATTGTACTTGTCATTGCTTGTATATACATAAATATCAAAAGCACCAGCTTCAAAACTAACAGAGTTGATGTTAAGGATTTGGAAGGAAATCCCAGGGACAACTATGGAATACTCTTTTTTTTTTGAGATGGAGTTTTGCTCTGTCGCCCAGGCTGGAGCGCAATGGTGTGATCTCGGCTCACCGCAACCTCTGCCTCCTGGGTTCAAGCAATTCTTCTGCCTCAGCCTCCCACGTAGCTGGGATTACAGGTACCTGCCACCACACCCAGCTAATTTTGTATTTTCAGTAGAGAGGGGGTTTCTCCATGTTGGTCAGGCTGGTCTTGAACTGCCAACCTCAGGTGATCTGCCCACCTCAGCTTCCCAAAGTACTGGGATTACAGGCGTGAGCTACCATGCCTGGCCTGCAATACTCTTTTAAAAATTCAGAAAGCAGACAATCATAAGGAGGTGACAATGCTGGTATGTTCAGCAGCACTCCCAAAGAAAGGTACAGATTAGGATAGTTCCACATAACGAGAGAGTGAGTTTAAGCGCCCAGTTCAGTAGCTTTTAGTTTTAGTTTTGTTTTTTACAGATTTTTAAAATTACCACTTGATGGCACAGAGAAAATTATTGTGTGGGAAAAAACCAGACATGGATGAGTAAAATAGTGATCTAAAATGTTAGAGTGTGAAGAAGTTTTAAGAATTCAACCAATGAATGAATTTCACTTACATTTCCCCTTTTTATGTATGCGCAGGAGAGATATATGATTTTAAAATCCATGTATATTCATAGCACATTTATTTGTAATTGCCAAAAACTGAAAACAACCTGAATGACAGTAAGTGAATAAAAAGCAAATTGTGACCAGGAGCAGTGGCTCACGCCTATAGTCCTAACGCTTTGAAAGACTGAGGCGGGACGATTTCTTGAGCACAGGAATTTGAGACCAGCCTGGGAAACACAGTGAAACCCCATTTCTACATTAAAAAAAAATTAGCTGGGTGTGGTGGCACATGCCTGTAGTCCCAGTTATTTGGGAGGATGAGGTGGGAGAATTGCTTGAGCCAGGAGGTCGAGGCTGCAGTGAGCTATGGTTGCACCACTGCACTCCAGCCTGGGCAACAGAGTGAGATCCTGTCCCTATATAAGTAAATAAAACTAAACAAATTGTGGTATATCCATATAATGGAATACTTCTCAGCAATACAAGGGAATGAACTATTGACGTATACAACAACATGAATGAACCTGAAAATAATTATAATGAGTGAAAGAAGACCAAAAGAATGTATACTGTAGGATTCCATTTATCTAAACTTTTAGAACATGTAAACTAATTTACATCATGGAAAGAAATCAGAGTTGCTTAGGCATGGGAGAGAGGTGGGAAGGGCTGATGAGAGGGATGACACAGGGGCATGGGGAACCTTTTGGGGATGTTGCCTATGTTTACTACCTTGATTGTGGTGATGGTTCCACATGTATATGTGAATGTCAAACCTTATCAAACTGTAACTTGAAATATGTGCACTTTATTGTATATCATTTACACTTCAGTAAAAAAGATTTCAAAAAACCTATGTGGAAGTCTAAAACAGCTCTGTCAATAAAGGAAAAATTATTATTATTTTTTGAGACATGGTCTCACTCTGTTGCCCAGGCTTGAGTTCAGTTGTGTGTTATCACAACTCACTGCAGCCTTTTCCTCCTGGGCTCAAGATCCTCCCAGACCAGCCTCCTGAGTAGCTGAACTACAGGTGTGCACCACCATGCCTGGCTAATTTTTATTTTTTGTAGATACAGGATCTCACTATGTGGGCCAGGCCGGTCCCTAACACCTGTGCTCAAACGATCCTTCCAGCTTGGTCTACCAAAGAGCTGGAATTATAGGTGTGAGCCACCGTGCCCAGCCAAAAATTTGTATTTTTAAGAAAACATGTTGTATTTTGATTGCAAGCCTTTTTTTCTTAGTAACACATAAAATACTGGAGAGTTTTACAATCAATGGTATCTTAGGGTTGGTAAGAATCTATTTGAATGATTTTTTTTCCCATTTATTTATTTTATTGCATTTTAGGTTTTGGTTTTTTTTTTTTTTTTTTAAAGACAGGGTCTTACTCTTGCACATGCTGGCTTGATCATAGCTAATTGCAGCCTCCAATTCCTGGGCTCAAATGATCTTCCTGCTTCAGTCCCTTGAGTAGCTGGGTCTACAGGAGTATGTCACCATGCTCAGTTAATTAAAACAATTTTTTTTTTTTTTGGTAGAGATGGGGTCTTACTATGTTGCCCAGACTGGTCTTGAACTCCTGAGCTCAAGCAATCCTCCTGCCTCAGTCTCCCAAAGTGCTGGAATTAGAGGCATGAGCACATGGTGCCCAGCCTCTATGTGGATTTCTATTGCTGGATTCTGTAA